CACTAAAAATGTTTTGACCCTTAAACCTCTCATAAACCCTCGTAACTAACTTCTTATAGAACATAATTAACTCAAACATAAATAATATAAAAAAACATAATTTTGAAAAAGTGGTATTTTTGTAAATGTAAAGTGGTATTTGAAAAGTGGTAATTTTTAAAAATTTCTCCAAAAAAAAATAGAAAACGATAGGTATAACCTTGAAGTTGTAATATATTACAATTATTATATATTCAATATTAAATTACATTTTGATTTTGGTAATATGCTAACAGTACGATATAATAAATATTAGCATCCACATTGGTAATAAAATGTGGGTGTGTTTAAATATAAAATTATTAAAAGTTGAGTAAAAGGAAGAAAAAGAGTGTTTTTGGTTGAAATAATGGGGTGTATTGAAATATAAAATTAATAAAATTTGAGTAAAGAAAAGAGATAGTGGATATTGTTGGAGAGATTGTGTCTTTAGGTAGACATAAATAGTGACATTTGGAGAAAGAATGTGAGTATGTTTAAATATAAAATTAATAAAAGTTGAGTAAAAATATGAAATAGAAAGTATAAAGTTGAGTAAAAAGATGAGAGAGTGTATTTTTAATATTTTTATATTGTGAGACATTGGTAAAATGTCTCTAATATGGATGGCTTTACGTTAGGGTTGAATGTAGATAGTGACAATGTGACATAGTGATGTCACTAGCACGAATCACTAAATTACATATACTCATTAATCGACAATTGTATTATAATACAATAAGAATGATACATGGCTACTCTCTTCTCAGCGACAAAAAATGAAAATTTTAATGAGACATCTACCTTATTATTCAAAGAAGAGTACGCACGATGAGAACGCGATACGTAAACAAAATTATAATTTATCAGACCGTAACATGTATCTATTTTTATCAGATGATAACATGTGTTAATACTTAAAACTGATTAAAAATATAAAAATAGAAAACGAAAAAAAATAATTGTCAAATAACTAACTAAATAATAAAAAAAAATTTATTGTTCAAACTAATTATGAAAAAAAAAAAATTAAAAAAAAAATAGAGAGCGATTAAACCATAAAAGAAAAGTAGAGAAAAAAATTCAAGTCAGAAAAATATTATCGACAAGAGTTTATAACGTAAGAAAACTTATAACTCACCAGATCTTGACACGTGTTCAATATTGATAAGAAGATGATGTGTGTTAAAAATTTAAATTATTTTTAAGAAACAATTAACAATGGAAAACGAAAAAATTGTCAAACAACTAACCAAATAGAAAAAGAAAATTCCTAATAATCCCAAAAGTTTTTAATGAAAAAAACTTTCAACTATTTTTTTATCTATTTTAAACCCCTCAACTAAATTATTAATGTGAAAACATCTTAACTAAAAGATTTTAATGAAAAAAATCTTAACTAAAAATTTAATAAAAAAACCCCTCACGTAAAGTTATGTTAATGAAAAACTCCTCCTTCTATAGTAATGTTATTATACTAAACTATTGGTATTAAATTGATACTATGAGATATGGTTTGTTAAAAATGATATGTATATTTTATTTAAACATTAAAGAATGCAATATTTGTTTTTTTTTAACACTGAAAAATCATTTTATTATAACCGAAAACCGGTATGAAAGAATATAAAGTTTCATATAAGACACCAATAGGTATTGTACAATATGAGGAATAATATTTCAGGTTGTAGAATTATGGATAATCTCACACTTTAAGATGATAAGCAACATCATCCTCTTGACATTCCAAACTGGTTATCATATACTCTCATATCCTATAGCGAACTCAGCCTCCATGAGAGTATGAAACTGTAATGGCCATTCACAAGCAACATACGACAAAAACATCATCTAGGCTTGTAATTGAAAGAACAAGACTCATCAAGTTCTTCACTTTTCTTACGGTAAAGGCAATATCAAAAATACGACTCGTGAACATCCTCAATATAGGCATTGAATAGAGCATATTTCAATCATATCATACGAGTAGAGGGAAAGAAACAAAACCACCTAGAACCAATTAACACTGCACGCATACAAATTCGGCAAATGATCAAAAATGGCGAGGAACCTTAAAGACCAACATCATAACCATGGAACAATAACATCAAAGACACCAACCAGAACCACAAGCAGAAGGATATCTCTGCTTCAAACATAGCTAAAACTCTATCACACCAAAACGACGAGAGGAGAAACAACATCCTCCGGCAAAAAAACGTGTTGTAACCCATGGTGACGACCAAAACCACTTGCAGATCTGGATCTGCTAATCGAGAGGGATGGCTTTTGTTGCCGTTGCAACACCGTTCGCCTGAAAAGGCTCGGACCCTCCATTCCGGCTAAGAGACCACCAACAAGGCAACTGAGATCCACTGGCTACCCCACGAGTTTTACTTCTGACAAAAACAACCGCGACGACAAAGAGATACCTTGAATAAACTGAGGTAAAAGAAATTGAATATGCAGATGAGAGGACCGGTGACCGGTGCTAAAGGAGCCACCGGCCAAAACAAAAATTAGCCGCGGCCGCTTCTGAGAACTAGGGTTTTATCGATTAAGTCAAAGAATAAGACTCCCTCTTCATGCAATATTTGTTTATAAACAAAATTGAAAATACAATATAATCAACTAAAAATCTATGTATAAATCTCATAATTAAAAGAAATATTTAGCTAGGAGAAAAAAATTATAATAGTTTAAACAAACTATAAAAATAAAACTAGAAAAAATAGAGAGATTATGAACAATAAAAAAAAAGTAGAGAGGAAATATAAATTTAATTGACTTGCGGGTTATATTGCGGGTGAACTCTTATTTGGAGGGTTGATTTGCATTTAATTGACTTG